ATATTGATGGGATAAAAATGGAAAATAATAATGGGACAAAGAAACAATGGATTTGTGGAAGCTAGATGTATTTTTTATAATAATGAAAAGAACGAATTACAGCAACTGGAATGATAATGGACAGCCTTTCGAGAGGGTCGAATCTCTCCTAAATGGCACTTACATTAATCAGGTCATACCTCTCCTCCTTTCTCCGCTACTATTTATAAGTGTGCCAAAACAGATTCCTAATAGAATTAGTTACTACCCCAACTCCCTTCCTTTCTCTTGATTCTTCTAGAATAAGTGTGCGTGATGGGGGGCCTATCAGTAACTTCACAATGGTTCCTACAAAATTAGTAATTTTAACTTATTATTTTTATTGCATATGTCTAATAAACTTATGTTTCACTATTTGAGATTATCTTCCCTCCTAGCAGGAAATTGAAAAGCAAATGATAACTTCTTTTAAATATCTGTAAGTTGTAGGTTCTCCCCCCTCATCTCTTTGAAACGGTCAATTATTGAAATGTATTTTCACAATCAAGCTGGCTCAACTTATGACAAACTCTTAGAGTGGGGATTTTACCATCTGAAGAAATTATGTAATAGTTTGAGACCCCTAGGTCATATTTCTAAGATGATATATGCTAGATAAGTCCTTGAGATGGCTTGGCACATGTGTTTAATGGAGTCGTCCAAGCTTCCTACGAGGCTTAGGAGCATAAGGGTTTACAAGTTTTGTGGTTTTGGGTTTATTTTATAGTGGGTGTACACCGTTGTGGGTCAGGTGGTTTAAGAGGCTCTTAAGAGAGGTAAGCAATTTGAATTTGAATTCGCTGCTTACTTCCTGTAAATGTTATGCCCCAGTACCAATCAACTTTAAATATAAACACTTTTAATAAAATTCAATTCAATTAAATAATAGAATCCGTAGATTCAAATATCAATAATTTGTTAATTATAAGGAGTTGTAAATGAACATGTGGATGTTTTGTTGAGACTCACTGGGCAGATTCCACATGGATAACTATCTAAGTGTCGTTGATTAATTCCTAATATTCGATAGTGAAATTGATCATTCGACTTGAGATCATTATATTGTCTTATATGAAGACATTTATGCTTTGGTGACGTTAGATGTTGCTCTACCAAAGGTCGCTAATACAACATCGTTAGGATTTATCACTATTAGATAGTAAAAGATCACAATCTGCATTTTCATTCAATTACGTTGATAATGAAATTCCTAGATAATAAGAGATTATGATCTCTTTTTCGACTTACACTGACTTAATAGTGGATAGAAGATATGATCGATATCGAGATTGACACTCCATATCTTGTAATTCATAGGATTATATTGACGAAGAGATTATAGTTTCATGGCAAACGAACAATTTTGGTATTGTCACACCACGTATTGTCCTGACATATTGGTAGATGTCAATTTGGGACAATGGATGTGAATTGACGATAAATTAAAAGTGAGTATTTATAATTTATGGATTTTGATTAGATTCACGTCGTTAAGTATCGTGATTGAGAACCTAATGGGTTATGTATAAAAGAATAATGAGACTTACCCATAATTAATTGACAAGTGTTCGACAACAAATTAATTGAGCTGCTTGTTAATATGCCATAATTAATTAATTCATGTACCAAAATTAATTAATTTGATTAATTAAATGTTGGAACGGGTTAAGTTTAAGAGACGGGCCAAGCCATTTGGATTTATATTAATTGGCTATTAGGGTTTAAAAATTTAGTAGAGAATACAATTATATTCTTTTTAATACAAGAAAAGAAAACACTAATTCTCTCAATCTTGTTAACTGTGTGGAGATCCATTGGAAGTCGGACAATATAACAGTTGTGGATTGCATATTAGAATTATTATTCAAGGAATTCATCAAATGTATAATTTTTTATCACCCTTTCTCCATATTAAGTAACTTTTTAAATTCCGTGGTGCATATTATGTAAATTCCCAACGCTTTCTACATTGCAGTAGGTTTTGCAAAGCACGTTTTAAAGTTACATATATTTCGAGGTTGAGGTGATTTCGGCCATGTGATGGTGACTGAATCTCTAGATAGATAGGCCTGACTTGTGTGGATTAGTTGTATTGGGTGGGACTCGTGTGGTAGGTCCAAAATATTGCCTTGTTTGGATAGACTGGAAACTCTTTGGCTCAAGCAAGGTCATATTTCTTTGCTCATTCATTGTAACTATAACTTGATCGTGGATTTTTAAATTTTTGGCAGATAGTCCCAAAAAAAAAAAAAACAAAGCATCCCCGATAGAGAATAGGCAAGAGTTTGTGAACTTTGTTGATGTGCTGCCTCTAACATGTGCTCTCCTGACTTCTCCCACTCTCTTCCAACCTAACTTCTAATATTCTCCCTTTTACTCTCAGTTTGGGGCTCGTTCCTTGATGACATGGCTAGCCATCTATTGAGCGGCTACAACTTTTGATGCTGATGCTTTTTGAGCTATTTCAATGAAACTTTCACGTCCATTAAGCCCTATCAAGTACTTTGTGATCTCTACGGCCTTCCAGCGTTAAAGAGTTTTTCATCATATGCTCTTCAAGGTGTATTTGATGCTCGAACAAACTTTTTCCATACGCATTTTTTGGGAAGTTACGTAAAAGAAGACCTAAACTAACATCCGGCTTTGGAGGAATTGCCAATGTTAGAGGCACGGACCTACTAATGCTCAATTCGACCCAGAGTTGTTGGTTGTAATTCAACAAATTTCAACTGGTGTCTTTTTTTTTTTTAAAGGCGAATTCTTGATTGATTTCTTTCCCACGAAAGTGGTATTATTAAAAGTACAGATACATAAATAGATTTTCCAATACTTTTTTGAAAAGAGTTGATAAAAACAAAGGCATGGGATTTGATTTGGTGGGATCTTTAGCTATGTAAAAAAAACTTAGTATCCATTGACAGGGGTGGAGGTCAGTTTCTAGAAAAACTTCGCTTTGGGGAATGGATTTCGCCAATTCTATATTGATGTTCCCAAAATATGAGACCCGAACTCTACCTTGTTGCATCAACCTTATCAGCTTCCCAAACATTCAATTGCAAGGTCGGGCATCCTAGGTCTGGGGTGGTTTGACCGGGGTTTAAGGCCCTTCAGCTCTAAGTTTCCCAACGACTTATGAGAGCACTAATTCTAGTTAAACCACAATCCTTACCCTATTTGACTCCTTCTTCAACTCAAACAATGGTTGAATACTTGAAATGAAACACAAACTCCTTGTCCTACGAGGATAAAGATCACACATGATTAAGTCCCTCTATGACTCTATCATTAACACCTATAAATGCATAACCCGGACTCATTCTTGAGGTACGTTTTTCATTATTTTTTAGTTTATAACCTCACGCACTAAATTCCCTATCTGACTTAAGCATCGAAGGGGCGACGAGCACACACCTCGTTGCCTTTGTTTCAGATATTCAAAGACCGTTCGTGTTCACTTGAGTTCGCCTAAGTTTGGAGTTTGATCATCAAGTTTGAGATCTTTCAGGTACTATTTTTTTTGGTAACATCATATACTAAGTAGTATAGAAGCTACGAAGACCAAAGGGGACCTTACCCTCCCCTATTTTCAAATTCGAGTGGGTTGTAGGTTTATGAAATTCTTCTTTCGCCATCCTATAAGAAGCATGATTATGCCGAGTTTGATCTTCCTGGAACAAGCTTACTTGTGGTGTTCTCAAGGTTAATTTAAAAAATAGTTGAAACATAATGAACACGAAATAAAGTTACTAGTGTAATTTCAATGTTATATAAGAAAGTTACTGATTTTTCTCGGGTTATCACTCCAATGCGATCCAGAGTGAAATGATAGAAATAAATAGTAGGACTGGGAAAATTCAGAAACCAAGTTTTGGTCCTATTCAAACAACTTAATCAAGCATGCAAGAAAAGTTGGCTTAATAGGGTTTGGTATCCAAGCCTATTCATGAAAAGTGGTTTAATGACTTTTGTTCTTTGCAGAGGCCATAGCTCGATCCGCACCTCCTATTGAACCAGTTGTTGAGACCTCAAAAGCTGCTTAACCTCCAAAACAAAAGAAAACTTATTCCTTGTCCCATATCATTAAGGTACGTGGTTGCGTTGACTATTCTTACTTCATAGACTTTTTCCTTGTGGAATCTTTTCCTGTAGGTGCTTCTTTTGGGATGCCTCCAGTATATTGATTATGTTTAATATTTTCAAAAAATGTTCACAACAAACTTCAATATCTACATAAAAAATTGACCATCAAATCGTTGGATGAGAATACACACACTATTATTTTCGCGGAGTGAATCACGCTGCTATGTTTCGATGTGCTAGATAACGTTTGTTCATTCTTTAGGGACAAATGCTGGACTAGTAAACATCTCGAAGATTGAATATTATGTATGGTCTACGATGAAATACTCGAGGATTATACTTTCACTACGAGCCCAATTAAAATAATCTATAGAAAAAATAATATAGTCTAACTAATAAACAAATTTTAATTATTGTCAAATTTAATGCTCCTATTTAGTTAGCATTTTTTTCTCATTAAAATGAAAAATATGACCGTTATTCATCACATCAAATTATCAAATTTAAATTTTTATATGTTATATAAAACTCATAACGACTATATTTTTTATTCTCATTAACAAAAATGATAAACAAAGGGGCATAACAAATTTTAGTTATATTTTCATTTCGAGTCTTGAGATTGCCATATGGTCAGCGACAAAATAAAAACACTGAGAAAGGACAGTCGACGGTCCAATCAACCACATATGTCGGTGCACGAAAGGCACATGCGGGCCACTGTAACAATAATATCTTACGTAAATTATTTAAAATGTGACACCTTAGCTAATTTCCAACAATTTCAAATTAATATTGGGATTTAATTGTAAAGCTAGCTTCCTAAGAGAATCCGATAAAAATTATTTTCATAAATTCGGTCAAAAAATTGAAAATTATACTCTTAATTTGCAAGTTATCTATAATAATAATATAAAAGGCTTAATATATTTAAACTTAAAAAGATTAACATTAGTAACTAACTAATTAGAAAACTACTTAATCTAAGTTAATAAAATAGGATTAGCATCTAATTTCCATCTTTATTTTTGAGCTGCATGTCCCCTTTCTTCTCTGCCATTTTTCTTCGATGCACCTGCATTATTAATTCCAAAAAATTAAAACAAAATTGTTTATACCTCAACAATTTTTTTCTTCTTCCTGTTTTTAACCAGAGACACGTACAATAAGGGCGTGTTTGGCAGTGCCTTTCTTTCTTCTTCTTACTAAGTCAATTTACTTTAAGAAACAATTTTTAATTTTTCAAAAGCCATAAACAAACAAAATCAGTATGCCTAATGCAATTAAAGCCCTTATAATCCGTCCAAAAAGGTTTCAGACAAAAACAAATTTTCACAACTGAGAGAACTTCAAGATCAAAACAAGTAGAAGCAAAACCCACTTACTTTTCTCATTACAATCCGGTGGATCTTCGAACAGAGACAGTGAAAGCTGTTTATGAGCAACACCAATATCAAACAGAATTACCCCTGACTTCGGATCACCAACGACAATATCCTTAACCGGAAGCCACAGAAAGAGCTCTTCCTGCGAGAAGCCCTCGACTCCGGTGAGACTACCATATGTTAAATTTGCCCGAACAACACTGTCATAAAACGCCATCGTATCAAACTTGGTCATACATGGACCATCCAGAAACACTTCAAGCAGCCCAGATTCAGACAGTGTGTAGGATTTGACCTCCTTCGGGAGGAGGCCGGCCGGCAAGCCTCTGGACTGGAGGAGGTCATGAATGGAGGAGGAGTGAGAAAGTGTTGGAGAGAGAAAGAGTACGAGGAAGGAGAAGAGTAAGAGATTTTGAATGAACTCCATTAATGAGAATGTGTGTGAAGAAAAAATAAATTGGGTTCTGGGGTTTTAATGTTAAGTTAAAGAACTATCGAGGGAGTTTGGAAAGTAGAAAGACTATTTAGCATGAGAGTTGATTAATTTTACTAATTTGCCCTTGTATTTGGAGAAATTTCTATCCATTCGAGCCATAGGATCGCCCCTAGAAGCATTCAAATTTATGTTAAATTATCACGTTACCTCCGCATATCCAGCTTTATAAAATCATATCTTTTTTTTTTTTTTCTAAATTAGTGGATATTATAAATTTAAATCAAGACAATTTTATTTCATACGATAATGTTTGTAGATTTGATAAATTGTATAACGTTAATACAAAGGTTGAATTTCGATTCACTCTTTAAAAGTTGGAGACTGATTTGCTATTCGAACAATAATTGAGAACTAACATACTATCAACTTGTAATTCTCTTTAGCAAAAATAAAATAAAATAAAAAGATGTGTTCTCGTATTAATATAATTTTTATGAAATAATAAATTATTTAAATATTTATAGATAATTCATAATCTATTTAAAGATGGAATAAAACTGGACGTCCACACTGATATTGGGGGGTCGCCAAATAGGCGCCTGGACGTCCAGTACGTCTCTTAAAGATATACTCATATTTTGTATTAGTTTGTTAAACGAAAGCCAATTAGAATTGATCAAAATAAAGGGTTTGAACTTTGAACAATTCATTTTCTCCCCAAAAAAAAAAAAAAAAAAAACTCTAAAAATCAATTATTGATTTTAAAAAATGAAGTGACATAAGTATGATGTGTTAAAATCAAGAAGGGTATTTCAGTCAAATCGAATTTCCTAGAACAAAGTGTAACTGCTGGAGTTAAAAAAGTCAAATCAGGCACGAGAATTTGGACCAACAGGAAAAGTGCAACAGCCAACAGCTCAGGTACAATAATCATGGACACTATGAGGGCATAAATGTCATTTCGTGATTGTTTGTACTCGAGCAAGATTTTATTCCACAACTTTATTGACTCTAAGGGGCAGCGCTGCAATTAGTTAAAAACCTGATGGCATAAAAAAGGAAGATAAATCATTTGAGTATCTCAAGGGAAATATAGCCTTCTTTTCTTTCATTTATCCATCAGCTAAATTTAAGGAGAAAATTGCTGAAATTAGAATTTGTTAGAGAGGGGGCATGGAAGTTTGGTAATTATCACTAATGCCACTCAAGATTGGAAAGTAAAAGAAAATGTTGGGAAAAATTTCACTATTGGTCCCAACTTATTTGTCAAATAGTAACTTAGTTTTAAACCTATTCAAAATAAAAAGTTTTTCGATCTTTAATTATAGTTTCACAGCCAGTACTAAATTTCCGAATCTCTTTAGGTCATTAAGTGTCCCTCACACATACTTAACTTCATGAAGCTGAATTTTATTTTTGATTTGGGTCGATGCTTTAAAATTTAAGTGAACCATACTTTGATAAGGACAAAGGGAAAACTTAGCATCAACTTGGAAATTATTTATACTTGATTTAGCTTATAAGTATACATACCTAATGATGAATAAGTAGATAATGCTTGTGAATTTACTAAAATATGTGGTTGAAAATAAAATTTGTTCATTTCCAAATGATTAATAAATATTGTCAAACGGAGGCTTAAAAAGATTGTTATCATGGGTCGATTATGTTACTAAAATAAATATAAGGACTAATGTACTCCTATTGAAAGATAGGGGATCAACTTATCATTAAGATTATAGGAAAGGGACCAATTCTGCATTTTCCTATAAATTCTGTAATGGGTAAAAATAGGAACCCCTGTAGTGGGCTACAATTGGCGGGACCAGAGCCTCATGGTGTGACATATGTGGACCTAACTGGAACCGGTTATTGGTTTCCCCATTTGAAAGAATCCAAGCTTAATTTAAAAATGTTGAAACCCAATTTTGAGGACTCTCACCGTTTATCAAACTTAAACTTAATTTAGAGTTTATTTGGGAGATATTTTTTAAAATTATTTCTTTTAAGGGTAATTTGAATTAAATATTTATGGATCCCATATATATATTTTTTAATTTTTTAATAATATATTTTTCTGAAAGATTATTTTTCATTTGAAATGAATAGGTGAAGGGCAAGTTTGGACAAGTTCATTTCAAATTTTCTTTTATAGGTGAAGGGCAAGTTTGGACAAGTTCATTTCAAATGAAAAATAATCTTTCAGAAAAATATATTATTAAAAAATTAAAAAAAAAATCCAGTTTTGCTTGAAATATGGATTTGACTCTTGGGTAAGTGCAAGTGTACAAGCAGCCTTTCACCCTGTACTCTTGGAGGCATAACCTGCGATTTACCTCCCTCACGATGCTCTAGAGTAGGAGTGGTGGGGGACCCTTAAGGTTAGGGTTTAACTTTTAACTCAGTCTAATTTAATGTATTAAAGCAATTGACAGTCATAAGTTGGCCCACGCATGATTGAATTTTCCGCGTGACAAATGATACATCTTGGCCCTCCGTCAAATAATAATGATAATAATATTAGTTGTATGATTACCTTTTCAATTTCAATTTTTAAAAGTAGAAGTTTCTTATTTGACAAATATTTGAAAAATACACCGACAAATAAAATTTACAACATAAGAAAACTGAAGAAACAAGAGAAAAATACTTCGTAGTCAATAAAGATTTGTTTATAACGGCAAAATAATAATAATAATAATAAATAAATAAAATTCAAGTATTACGCCTACTTTATTTTTTTTTAATTTCTCCTAAACATCACTAGGTGCTAGTGACTAGTATAAAAAGTAAGGGTTGCCCGCTCGATGTGCAGAAAGGCTCCCCTAAACAGGGGCAGGGTGACAAATAATATTATAAAAGATGAAAGGTAAAAGGTAAAAGTAACTCAGATAAATATTATCATAATTATTAATCAACAATCATTACTTTGTGCTGTCAACATTCTTAAGCTTCCAAAAATCATGAAAATGTGCACATAATCCAGCCTGCATGTTCATTTAATAATTCATTAAATTATGATATTGTCCATGAAAATGATCCATACATCTTCAGCTTGTGTTTCAATGAAGGGTCAGGTAGTCAAGTTATTTGTGTATGTCTGATCTGATCATTTAACAGCTCTTTCTAAGAGACGGGAATGTAATTCGATCATGATTTTCTCTTGCACTGTCCCTTCCAACGGGTTTCGATGGTAAAATTCTTTATTGGCCCATAAACTTACCTAGAAAAGTTTACGACCTCAATTTGATTGTTCTTTCTTCCTAAACATTTGAATAATGAATTGTCTTCTTATGATTCATCATAAATCGTGTGAAAGAACTTTCAAGGAGCAAGCGATCCTTGCCCGAAATACAACTGCGACTACTTAAAGCACTACAGGTTGCAAACATCAATGTTGGATACAGACTTCGTCTATGGACATGCTTGTCTGGATAGGACATATGCGTCACAAACAAAGCATTTCTATAATATTTCGCTGATTGCGTTGAGAAGTGCATTTCATCACCTGTCAAAAATAGGTTTGAATATCCTATGCAGCTAAGCCACTTGTCAATCTTCAATTGAAACTTCCAATGTCATAAATAATAGATTTATTTCTTCGTGTAAAGATAATAACACAGTTTTGAAAAAAAAATTAGACCAATGTTCCAATGAACGAGCACGTCACAATACCAGTCTAGACAAAATGTTGATATTGGTGAAGTGGTCGTATGCAAATAGGTTCAAAGTCTTGTATGATTGCATTTTTAGTCATTTTAATTTAAAAAAAAAGGGGGTAGAAATTTATGAGATTGATTGTTTATGATAATGGTCCATACTGGTGAGGTTGTAGCATGCACATTGGTTAGCAATCCTATGCACACTCCACATACATCACTATGAAGGTCCCTAAAAATAATGTGAAGGACTGTTGGAGTTTAGAAATTAAGCATCCATTTGGTTTGGATAAAATCAAAATTTTAGTAGATTTTGATAAAAAGTTTGTGAAATATGTGTTTGCTTGTGGATTCAGTGAAATATTTGGTAGAAATGAGTTTCGAACGAATAAAAATGATAATTTCATGGATTTTTATGGTTGAACTTCGACGTATTATTACAAATTAAAGTTGAACGATGATGCAGAAATAAAACAGGGCGATGAATTGTTTGAAGTTGGGGAAAGGCGAGGTGATTGTAGATTAGCAGAACATTCCTTAGCTAGATTTGCCCTTTCACATTTTCAAAATGATGTCTGGTGAGATAGACATTATTGCAATCAAACCATTCATTAACGACGCATCAATAAAAAGATCAAAGATGGAGCGTCGGACGAGAAACATTGTAAAGTTGTGGCACAATGATGTTGACTAGATAAATGTTTTAACTTAGCTGACTTGTTGACCATTCAAAAGCCGGTTGATTAAGTTGTATGAAAAGGGGTTTTGGATGAATGCATTTTGTCTCTTATGGAATGAAAGCTCGAGATGTTGCCAAATGTCAATCCCACGAAACGTTGAATTGGTTAACCTTCAGGTGACTTCCATATATTTCAGATTCTTAGGGTTGAACATCTTCGATTTCTTTGATTTTTCAGTCTCTAGCTCTTGAATTTTTCGCTCCTTTCTCTTTCTAAAATCTAAAAGTTTTTCGATTTTTGATACTCTCTCAATGTAATGCATTTTTTGAGTGATCTGTATATTGAGAAGTGCTGTGATGCTCTTGAGTGAATTATCATAATGGTTGAAAGATTGATTTATTGTGATCTTGAGTGATTATTATCTGAGTGCCCAGATCTGTATGTGGACACTTTGGTTCCTTCATCATACAGCGTTTCCTTCCGATGATGAAAACTCAAAGAATTTATGTTTTCATTACATCAGGGCAAAATTTTATTTAAGTTTATTTTATAGTTCATGTCATTTTTTCAATTTTTCTGCCATAACAAATATAAAATAAGAAATTGAAGTGACCAAATTTATTGGTAACAAGTTTTGAGTTGTTGGACATACAGAAAGTGCAAGCTGGATGAAAATTTCAAAAGATATAAACAAAACAATTACTGTAGATTATGAAAATATGAAACATTTTGAAGAGTCGGAGACAAATCTTAGACTATTGGAATTATGCATCATTGTTTGTTATTGGCTAAATTATATGATTTACTTAATGTATTTTTTTTAAAGGAAAGTGGCACTATTTGTCTTTTCCTCATTTTGACATCGTGTAAAAAAAAGTGAGGTTGCCCTCTTCTTTAAATACTAGTCTGCGTCTCGTGTGTTGCACGAATTTTGTATTTATTAACGTAAAATTTATCGATTGTACAAAAAGTATTTGAAAATAAGAAATGTTTGTTAGATTCTCATCTTTTGGTCAACTGAATATTTTATGTCACGATAATTTATTTTTATTCTTATAAATAAGTATAATGAATATTGTGATTGTATATATGTCGACGATAATTTATTTTTAATTATTTATTGTATTTTTTTGTTTAATGTAGATGAAAATATTTTTTTATCTGATATTGCAAATAAGTTGTAAATTGAATTTTGCAAAATGCTTTTCTTTAGCAATTTCGATTCGAGAGGCTATACTCGTAGTTCAAAAATAACACATGCAGCTGTAAATTGAAAGAGAATATCCACATACACAAACATTTAAATAACAAACTCAAGTTCGCACGTAAAATAACTTGAAATAACACTTATTGGATGGTCAACTCCCTTGTTGATGTAAGAATTAGAACCCTAATGACAGGCCTATTCTTCGGACGATAAAACAGTCACTCCAAGGTTGGTAGGGCAAAAGAATTTGAAAAATAAATTTAAATAAATTTTATTCGAAAGAGAAAAGAATTAAAAAGAAATTTAAATAAATTGATAAAAAAACCAATTATTTATAAAGCAAAATTTTCAATTTTAATTAAATAATATTTATATATTCTTCATTTAATTTTCATAACTTTATTTTATTTTTTACTTCTAAATAATTTTAAACGAATTTTTTTACTTATATAAGTAATTTTTACATATATTAGAAATATTTTTTGTTAATATGTTTATTTTTAATTTTTTTATTTTAATAAAAGTGATTTTTGAAAAATTAAGTTTTATTTGGAAGAGAAAAGAATTAAAAAGAAAAAAAATAATTAATTTTTTTTAAGAAAAAAACGCATTTGTTAACACATACGTTTAATCTCCGTTTAATCATTTTTGATATTTATTTAGTTCATTCGATATCTTTACGATATAGTTCTCAAAATGAGTTTCGAGAGAATGTAAAATATTTATCAATTCGACTATCGTGCAATCGTCGATGAATTTTTAAAGTTAACTTGTTATCGAAAATTTCAAAATAGTAATAAAATAATTGATTTTTTTTAAGAAAAACGACTTATGTGTATTTTTTAACACATACGTTTAATATCCGTTTAACTATTTTTTTATATCTATTTAGATCATTCGATATCTCTACGATATAGTTCTCAAAATGAGTTTCGAGAGAATGTAAAACATTTATCGATTCGACTATCGTACAATCGTCGATGAATTTTTAAAGTTAGCTTCTTATCGAAAATTTCGAAATATAGTTTGAAAATGCCTACTTTGACGTTCCATAACATTTGCTATGATTGACTGTTTCACGCACCGTTAACGACGTACAATACTATGCCGCGAGTACTTCAAAACGATATTAAGAATGTAATATTTCGATTTCGTTTGATATCCCGTAATGAGCCTGAAAATGAAAACAAAAACATAAGTAAAAAAAAATTCATTTCTCTTTGTGTGGTCTTCGTACACGGAGTCCTCTTTTTTTCTTCTTCTTTTTTAAATAAAAGCTAATACCTCTTTATACTATATAAACTAATTACAATGATATATATATATCATTGTACAACTTAAAGCAAACTTTTTACTATGTAAAAAAATATACTTAAAACTTTGAGTTAATATTTAATCCAAAATAATATTTAGATAAATTTAATTTAAAAAATTCAATATTACTATAAAATTAAATATTGTCCGAAATTATTAGATATATCCAACTACGATGATATAGTTTTTATTTTTTATTTTTAGTTTTCTATATCTATAATAATGTAAAAAAATAAAAATAAAAATTCATGCACTCTATACACGGAGGAACGCGTCGTTTTTGCTCCCCACTTGAAAAAAATGAAATTTTAAATAATTGAAAAAAATTTACGCCATACCGCATAGTTTTTTTGAGCAAAATGATGTATTGAGAAAAATATTGCGAAAAAATAATAAATAGTAATAAAAAATTAATTTTTTTAAGAAAAACGACTTATACGCATTTTTAACACATACGTTTAATATCCGTTTAACTATTTTTTATTTTTTTTAAATATTTGTGTTGTTTACATTATAATTTTTTTTCAATTTAAAATTCTTTTCTATTAATAATTCCAAACAAAAACTTAGATTTGAGAAAAAAAATTTCTGTGTAGTTTTATGTTATAAATAATAATTTTTTCAATTTAGAATTCTTTTTAAATTTTTTCTTCAAATTTTTTATTATTAATCAGTAATTTTTAATAGTTTGAGATAAAATTTAATTTTCTAGTAATAATTCAATATATAAAATATTGAAAAAAACATATTCACTTCGTGTATAGAGAAAAAAATTTCTGTCATACCACATAATTTTTTTTGAGCAAAATGATGCATTGAGAAAATTGTTGCAAAAAAAGAATAAATAGTAATAAAATAATTGATTTTTAAGAAAAAATGAAGTATACGCATTTTTAACACGCATTTTTAACACATACCTTTAATTTCCGTTTAACTATTTTCGATATTTATTTAGATCATCTGATATCTCTACGATATAGTTCTCAAAATGAGTTTTGAGAGAATATAAAACATTTATCAATTCGACTATTGTACAATCATCGACGAATTTTTAAAGTTAGTTTGTTATAGAAAATTTCGAAATAGTAATAAAATAATTGATTTTTTTAAGAAAAACGATTTATGCGTATTTTTTAATACATACATTTAATGTCCGTTTAGCTATTTTTGATATCTATTTAGATCATTCGATATCTCTACGATATAGTTCTCAAAATGAGTTTCGAGAGAATGTAAAATATTTATCGATTCGACTATCGTACAATTTTTGATGAACTTTTAAAGTTAACTTGATATCGAAAATTTCGAAATATAGTTTGAAATGCCTACTTTAACGTCCCATAACATTTGCTACAATTGACCGTTTCACGCACCGTTAACGACGTGCAATACTATGCCGCGAGTACTTCAAAACGATATTAAAAATGTAATATTTTAATTTCGTTTGATATCCCATAATGAGCTTAAAAATGAACACAAAAACATAAAAAAAAAAAATAATAAATAAATTTCATGGTCTCTGTGCACGGAGTCATCCTAAACTCTTTGTAAAAGTGCAATTACCTCTCGAAAAGATAATTGAGGGGGGAAAAAGTAAAAATTTCAAACAATTAATAAAAAAATAAGAAAAATCTATTGGCTAGTGATTGTGAAGTCTCAATTCTTCACTTGAGAGGACATCAAAGGCCTCTAATTTAGGGGGAAAAACCATTCATCTTGTCAAATTTCCACCCATTCTCACAACCGACTGTAGTTGTTGTCATTATCATTGTCATCGTTACCCGATTCCAAACCAACTCAACCGCCTTGTCTCTCCTATCTAGGGATGACAATGGGACGGAACGCCCTCACGCTAAGGTGGGCGGGGGGCAGGGCAACTTTTTGCCCTGTTTATTTATTTATATATTTTTTTACATTTTTTAAATTTCGAGTTATGTCATTATTAGATAATAAAATACAAATTCAAAATGAGATTTTAACGGGGTAAATTGTCTATAAATAAAATTATTTATAATATTATTTTTCCCTTCATGGGGCGGGGCATCCTCGCCCCACGCTGCCTCATGCCCTGCGACGGGGCACCCCCCTTACCCCGCCCCGCCATTTGGAGTTGATTTTTTTAGCTCCACTTAGGGCTGGTCCCCCGCAAAGTAAGTTTTTTTGCCATCACTCCCATCCTCCTAAAAGAATACGTAGGGGTTTTGTTTTGCCATTAAATGATGGCGAGAATCATGAGAAAACTCTCTTCTCGAATATCAAGGGTTTTGCTAAAGTGTAGTAAATGGGTGGAGTGAGAGTGTAAGATTTTTATTTTCTTTTTCTTTTATTTATTTGAAAAAATTGCTTTGTTGGTCACCACTTTATTTATTCTTTCTTTTTAATTGCTGAACCAAACACAAAAGGTTAGAGACTAAATGAGCAATTTAATTTTCCCAGTCTTCTTCTTCGTATTTATTCTAAGGCGACGTTTGTTTCCCATTGATGTAAAAATGAGAATGAAAAATATAATTGTTATGGATCCCACATAAGAGATGCAAAGTCAAATATGATAATTTGATGTGATGGATAACGGTCATATTTTTCATTTTAATGGTCAAGTAATGGGAAACAAACAGGGGCTAAGAGGAGGACAAAAATCATTTTACATGATTTAAGGGCTAAAAATTAAAATGGACGAAAATGATGAATTGTGCCAATTTTCAAATGGTGGAGGAAAAATGGCACCAAAAAAATAGATAAATGCACGTCAACTGAAGTATGTCAATTTTACTGTTTTCATTTTTTTTACTTTTCTTAATTCTGAAAATACTCAATTTGAAAATATTATCCGATAACTCGGAAAAATAACACTTTTAAAAATATATATATTAAAATAAGGTCGATTGTGACTAGTGATTTATAAATATACGGAAATTTTTTTCCCTGAAGAATTGTGTAGAAGAAATAGAGCAAGAGAAAAGCCAATTTCATTTTATCTTTTCTTGGATATTTAAAAAGCCATCGAATGGAGTCCTCTATCTCCATACGAACACACTGAAGAATTTCTACTACCCCTATAACAACACTGTCATGCAATCATTTGTACAATTTTCCATCAATTTCTCAGCCCTAAACCCTCTTTATAAGGATTTAAGCACGAAACACAGAATATTTAAGTTAAAATTTTCACAACCCACAAATTATTACTCTCTTTCGAGAACAAAGGTTGAATCTTTGCCCAAGGACAGGTTAAAGATAGGAGTGTCTTCCTTTGGAGTGAGCAGGGGTAAAAATGGGATTTTATCGAGGACGGGAAGGGCTGTTGTGGTGAGATTCAATAAAGGCTTTAATGGTATTGGAAGAGGCGGCGGCGGCGGCGCCGGTGGTGGTGGGAAGGTTAACAGTGAAACTGCAAGAATTTTGGGGAATCTTGCTCTGGCAATTCTTTTGACTTATCTCTCCATGACCGGGCAATTGGGTTGGCTTCTTGATGCTATTGTGTCCATTTGGGTATTGCTCTCTTTCTTTTCTATCTCAGATATGGTTTCTTTTTTCTTGTATCAGAATTTTACATATGCAAATGAATGTGAACTATATAGTTCTTGGTAGGTTGCATAGTCCAAATGCATACGATACTGTCATGGATATGATTTCACCTCAAATCTTGTGTTGTTACCATCAAAATTGTAAATTTTTTATCTTTTTGTTATATACAAGTATGGAATATTAGATAATTGACCAAAGGTGACACCAACATCCTCTGCCCGTCTGTCCTTGGATGAACGGTAGAGCTTTTGGTTTTTTCACATCATTAAAGAGCTGAAATTGGAGGCTGACATGAATTTTAATTTTGCCTCAGATCTTGAGAAGTTGTGATTAATTTTGTATAACTTTGTAAGAGCTCCTCAGAAAATGAGAAAGTAGAAGGAAACTCAAAAATTGCATTTGGCATGATAATTGCAGTTGCAGATTATTGTATCTTGATTTCCCTGTTGCAATGCGACATGGTATGCCAATCATTTTAGCAAGTTTTTCTATTTCGGACTTGTCATTAGCATGAACTGCACGAAGTATTCAGCAGCTGAAATGATGCTAATAATAATAGTGAAGATACATAAATTGCATCCAGATGCACTGCTATGAATTGTGCCAACTTCTTACTATTCGTTTCACTGGTAGCTAGATGTATTTACTTTATCTGATTATTTTAACCATGGTGCTTAATTTTGAGGGATTCTTGCCTTTCAGATTAATTTTAATACACATCGTAGCTCTGCTGAATGAGAGCAGCAATCGCACTGTCAATGAATTGCTCTTGTTGAATTCTTAATATTGACATGGCTGATACTTTGTATCAGATTCTCGCAGTGCTTATACCAATTGTGGGTCTGGGAGCTTTTCTTTGGTGGGCTGGACGTGATATAGTTCAAGGCAGTGTAAGGATATTTAACCTTATTCCTTGTAACTCAATTTTTTAAGTGGAAAATCATCCTTTTTTACTTGAAAGGGGATTTGATGCCTATGCAATTAACAAAGTTGATGATTTTATTATTTTTAGACGACTATGAATGTGGATTATATTAAGAAACTCTCCAAATAAAGATATTAAACATGTTATGAATTCCAGTTTCCTTTTGGCCCCCCGTATTCTGAAACTTAATTTTTCCCGGACTCATTTTCACAAACATTTCATGGGATCACAACTTTTATCAACTTTTCAATCACACATTTAACAACTTCTATCAAAATCTATAATAAATCTAATTTTTAGCTAAAACAAATAGGGGCTAAATGTTCCTTAAAATATGTTGAGAATCTCTAGTTTATGGCCTCTTCTCATATTACGTTTCTTGTTTTAGTGCAGTAAGCAACGTATGTAATATTTGATTCTGTGTATATGTTGGAAAAAATAGCGACTCCTGAAGCTGTTGTCACTTAACATTTTGAGAGGAGCAATTTTGGTTGATTCAGACATTTCATATGATTTCTCTTTAATTCAGATTGTCGTCAGTGCATTCTTTTATGAAGTTTATATGAGCAAGAGCAACCTTGACAGCGTCAATGCTTTATTCTCATGCCTATATGTGATTTTTGGTGCTTGCTTCATGTACAAATAACTCACCAAGACTTCTTTCATGAATTTACTCCTTCAAAGTCTTAAATAAATGGTTGTCCATTTCAATTGTTGACTGACATCAGTTTATGATTTGTTTTACATTTTTCTTCCATAAGTTTCCTAGTATTTTGCATGTCAAAATTGATTGCCTTTTGTTGGGTACTATCTTCTCGAATTCAACTTATTTTTGCATCGTGCTTGTCTTTCAAAATATGTGCTTCAACCAGGGTTCAAATACTTGATCCCCTCGGATATTAGGCAATATTCTTCTTTTTTGAACCTAATGAAGTATTTTTCTGTCCTCAAATCTTTCTGTACGTGATGCATGCTATGTCGATCGTGAAATTATTGCTGCTGTTGTATATGATCCGTATTTATTTTAATAAGATGTTTCAAGCAATTGTTTATTGACTGATTGTTGTATGTGCAGTGTCCAAACTGTGGAAATGAATTTCAGATATTCAAGTAAGATATGTTGATATCCGTTTTTGTTATGAAAAGATTATTTTTGAAACCAAACTACTTATTTGCTTTGTTCTTTTAGCTAGTTAATTCACAATTTACTTGTTACAGATCTACATTGAATGATGAGTTGCAGCTGTGTCCATTTTGTAGCCAGCCATTCTCAGGTAACAGTTAATGCTGAGAACATATACTGTAGAGTAAGACAATTAGTTATAACATCCATATTTTACAAAGATTTTGAATCTTGTTTTCTTTTCTTTTTTTGTCGTATTAAAGGTGAAGATTATGTAGAATATATAGCAATTGTTCATGATATAATTTGTTTGGTATTTTTAGAGGTCACAACGAGCTATTCGGTAGGAGCTCATCTATGATAGCTAATATCAGCTTGTGAGACTTGAATATTGTTAGTTGTTACCATATAAGAGACGTATTTTCTAGTCTTGTCTTAGTTACAGTAACATTCTTTTACTTCTTGTAGTGGTAGGCGACGAGTTTGTAGCAGATCCAGTGAAGTTCTCCAATGAATCTTCAATATTTGATCAAACATTCAGTGATTTCTCTCCTCGTACAAAAAAAGGTTTGCTTCTTTACCTGCGTATATCAGATTGATTAAATTTATAAATTTCAACAGATTAATTTTGTCTGAACTATCTAATGGTTGAAGTTGGTGCTTATTATAAATTGACTTTGAGATCCTCTTCTCATGAATCCAATCTTGTCCGAACTTACACATCTTGTGTGTGTAAAAATCAGTAGTAGTCTGTTTGTGATTTAGAACTCGATCATTTTGCAAGATTAGATGAAAATTGTATCAACTAAAGCAGTGCTTATGAAGAGGGGAAAGGTAATAAATAAGTTCCTATTTTGGTTTAACTAAACCCTTTTGAAGACCAATAATCTCTCTCGAAATGATGAATGAAGATGAGTTACTAGAAAAGATTCATATCATCACAGTCGCTGGCCATGGAAGTATCCTTTAAGGACATTGAAAGGATCGCTGAATGACGTATTTTGTGTTTTGGTGTACAGGAAAGGATTCTTCTACTTCAGTTGTTGACGTCGAAGCAGAAATAAGAGATGCAGATTGAGTTTTGCATCGTAATCGTGAACTAAAAGGTCAATTGCACTCATTCAAGTTCACACAAGGCACGACAAGTACAATGTTCCAACTGAGATTGCACTTCTATGACTTGATAATAATGTGTACTGTTGTATATTATTTCATCTTTTTTTTTACACAGAAACGATTCTGCCTTGGATAAATGTAGATCACCAGATTGTCAAAAGAATTGTTTGTTCATAATTTGGTAGAGGAATGATACATTGTATTGAATTTAAAGGTAACTCTTCTTAGAGCTAGACTTCGTCGATTAGACAAGCAAAATATAAATCTCTTTTATTCCTGGAAACGTCAGGCTGCTACTGGGATCTTAGCATACAATTTAAAGAAACACGTTCATTCTGATACGAGAGCATAGCAAAGAGATCATAATCTGAATCTAATCTAGAATCTGAAAGTGTGATGGCCCAAAGTAAACAACATTATTCCAGAAGTATTCACAGAGCCAAACTAGTGAGCCCCTTCAACTTTCTGCCAAGAAGGGAAAAGCAAATCACGATGACATCATCTATTTCATGTCACCAAAAGAAAACCAAAACTGTTTAAAAGAAACACAGAACACTTGACGATTTGGTAATCAAGATAAGTCCGAACGCAGAATCACCCCGAGAATGATAGTTTCTGGAGAAAGTTATTAGCAGTGGAAAAATTATACCTCTTCTTTCTTCTCTTTTTTGCCTCCTGTCAAGAATTTGTAACCTCCAAATAAGAGCAAGCCCCATCCAGTGAGAGAGACAATCACAAACTGTGAAACAACAAAGGCTCTAGTCAAGGAGACAATGACTGTCCATTTGCACCACTTGTGCATCTTATGTCAAAGCCAATTGAAAAGATACTCATATGAATTACTCAAGAAAGTTAAGATCATCTGAAAAGCCCAATCAGCAGGTTTTTCATATCATTTATCAATCCATTGAAACATAGAACTAATGATTTTAATTGATCTTGAACAAATTATCGTCCATTGGTTTATCATTTAATAAAGAATTACCAGTAGAACTGAATCAGTTCTGCCAGTGTCAATTGCAATTTTCTGTAGCTAATATCTCCCTTTATCCTCTCGCCTGCTACCATAACTCGTTGGTTTTTGATAAATGTATATAGCAGAAAGACGTTTAACAGGTATTTACCGGTATTTTTCTCACTAAGTATCAAATCCTGACTGTAACATTAAAAAATTGAAGAAGTAAGAAGAAGCTGAAATTAAATTACTAAAGAACAAAAGGAGCCCGAATATCTAATTGCAGCAAGGATTGGGGATTTACCAGTCTTTTCCCTTCACAAGGGAAAACCTAACTACCAGATGCTGAGATGCATATTAAAAACCATTAGTACTTTGGTCAACTATTCATGCATTAGCTTCAGTATGGAATCCAGTCCTAAAGAAGTTCAATAATGTTTATTCTTTCAAAATTATCTACTCCACTCCTTACTACTTTTGTCTTGCTTTCAAATGTCACGAGACAATGGCAAACGAATGACACCAATAATTAGCAAACGCTCAACAACTTAATAGGGTACTCAAGCTACTGAATGCATTGAAACGGACCTGGAAGAGAAATACGTGAGTATGTGTGTCTTTAAACGCACATGTTGATGATCTTGATTGCTTCAAGTTCATTAGGATTCTTACAGTAATTAGCTTACAATTTGAACACTTGTCCAACAATTTCATAAGCTATCAGCTTAATTAAAAAACACTAATTTCACTTTAGCAGCTATATGCTATCGTATTCTAACCCAAATAAAGACCTAGTAGGGAAGTCAAATTTGAAACAAAAACAATGAAATCCAGGTAATAAAAAGGAAAGAAAATTTGTCAAGAAAACGTACGTGCTCTTCCTTCCACTTCGATGGGCTCATTGGATCCTCCCAAAAATTCACTTTCGGAGGTCCATGATGGTCTGGATTACAAAAATAAGAATTAAAAAACAATCAATTAGTCTCACTAATGGATAATAACATTCAATCCTACTTCATCATATATTCGCAATTTTTTTAAAAAGCATTAATTTAGAATAAAAACAGGGGTGCCGAGTGAAATTGCAAAATAATTACCGCCGCCGCTGGCGAGACCACGCCGTGGGATGAGGCTGGAGGCTTGGGTGGATTTGGGAATAGAAAGCCGAGCCAGATTCGAGGCTTGACGAGACGCGACTGTCCACGCCGCCATTTGTTGTGTTCAGAGCCTTTTTTCTATGATTCGGTGATTGAGGTGGAAAAGAGCTAGTGCAGTGTACAGAATGTACGAGAAAGAAGAGTTAAATGAGCCCAATGTTTGCCATTTACACCCCCAGAAATATATCAATTTAACATTTCACACCATAGAAACACAAAATGACTTGATCCATCATTGATGATCAGTTAATTTATTTACAGAGAAATTGACATAAATTGTTTCAACCGTTTGACCATCTTGCGTTTTTGGTTCATTTTTTCAAATTTTGATGCAAATGATCTCAAATATTTGCATTCTTGACACAATTAATCATTTTTGAACATTATCCATTAAAAAATATAATTAATTTTGAAAAAACATTTTCACAAATAAGACTTTGAAGTATCGTAGTGGAAAAAAAATATTCTTATCAAGCCCAAAAAGAAAACGTCAACACGGTGCCAAATATTGGAATAAAAAAGTAGTGGGGCTTTTGTATGTGATACTCACATTTGGTTCTTGAGAACTTTATTGGATCGGCTACTTCTTTTTGACAGTAAGAACTAAAAACTCATTATTGATCCAAATGCCTATCTATAAAGTGTTAAGGGGATAGAAATTCCACATAGCATGATATTTACTTTCTTTTATAAATAAATTACATATGTAGTTTTACTTCGACGAACGTAGCCGTCCTCGCATTTTCTAGATGGACTAGGCCAACTGAAAACATGTTCCAATCGGCTCGACCCACTTGTCATCAGTACATACCCAAAGAATTAGTAGCTGAGGGCCAAGATAGAAGGAAATCCTTTTATAGCCTGTTTAGTGTTTCCATCATGGATAAAACAAGTTACCAAGAGTTTCACATATCCAATGACAAGTGGCTAAAAAAACTAGTAGGAATGTGCTGAACCAAAATACTTCCATGTACATTCTACTAAGTTATGCCCACAAATTACACACAGCTGCCCTAAAAGTAATCCACAGTACACTTTCGCAAAGTCATGTCCCAATATTACACTGCTAAATGGAAATATATTAATTCTTCAAACCAAACTCTGGCATTTCCACTAAACAAATATTCAGAGGCGTTGGATGTTACAAAGGCCCGGACGTAGTTACTTTCACAGCTCTTCATTCACATCACACAATCCCTGGTTCAACATTTTGAATTAAAATCAACTTGAATATCAGAAAATCAACCAAAATCATAATATACAAGGAAAATGAAATCAAATCATTATTAACTTCCTTGAATCCCATGCTTCCCTGAAACGTTTAAAATAGACCGTAATTCCAAGAAAATGTTTCGCATCACATCACACGTTTAGAATAAACTAAAACAAAGAAAACGTAACAGGAAACTAAGCGTTTTCATGTTGAAGTCCTTCAACGAAACCAATTTTGTGAAAAAAAGAAAAGAAAAGAAAAGAAATGATCTATTTAATTGGAAATAAGACATGGAAAAAATGTTCACGCAATCGATTTAATTTTCAAAAGGAAATGTGTGATGCTTTGTTATGAAATGCACTTTCTCGATGGCCTATAAGAGACGGCTGAGCTTGGCAATTCAACAACTGAACAGCTGAGCAAGACTTCATCCTCATCTGTGGCGGAATACAGTGTAAAATCCGCCATCAGGTGACAAGGAATCCAAAATCTTATTAAGTAGAAAACCAAATGCTATTTATATTTTGTTAAATTCAAGATTAAACTGCACATCAAAAAATTCTTTCTTAAACCGAAATGTACGTATACATGAAGTTTGTTTTCTACAAAACAAAATGAAATGCATTTTGTTTTTTGATTAATCCTTACACATGCATTTTGGAAGTTAAACATAACTGAGATATGCAGAGAAACTTTAGAAGACCGAACAGCAATTGAACCACTAGATAATTTGATTGAGCAGACCAGTTCTTATACATCAAGATGTCCTTTTTAGCGATTAATTCCAGCAAAAAGCAACTCCAATTCCTCATCCTGAGATGTTGTCGTCTCCTAACCAGAAAGCAATAAAATTAGTTACTTTCGTATAATTGTGAGCATCACGAAAAATAATAGTAAGATGAGAGTAAATTATATTAAAAAAAAAAAATCATTTTTAAAGGGTAAAGAAGACTGGCTAAGTAAAACTAAGTCTAATCCAGGCTGGAAGCTACTAAAATATATCAGGTTAAATACTTTGAGAACACCTAAGGATTTAGGCCAATGCTTTTGCTAAATAACATAGTAACCACAAAAACTCCTATAAAATCAAGAACTCTCAGGCGAATCTTCATACTGCAATGTACAAAATATCAGGTTACTTCCGAAATACAACTTTTCAGAAAAGAATACGGAATCTCCATTCTTGACTGCAAAAGGGCTGGCAGCCAAGCACAACATGGTCTAATTGATCAAGTACATACATATTTTAACCTTATAATGCAGTTTCCCTTTCATTTAATGGATAATTACAATGGATATAGTGGATCATGACTGAAACTATCTTACAGTTTAACTCTAGAAGGAACCTAGTGTGTTTAATTGGTAAGTTTTATTATGTCGTGGAATTCGATTGGTTAAATGATTTCATTTTGAGATTTTCGCATGATTAAAAGCCAATTATGTTCATCTTGCATGGCGTTTTCCTACTTAATGTGGAAATCAATTAACGAACACCATATAATGGAAAGAAAAGAATATTAATTAGACCTCATGTATGGAAGTAATTACAATCAGGGGCTTTTCTTATATGGGTAGGCAATATATAATTCTGGCATTCTCGTGATTTCTTCTTCTTTATCTTCTCTAACTCCTTCCTTTCTCCCTGTTTATTGAGTACATCAGCTTTGGGTGCACAGCAGGTCAACAAAATGCATGGTCTGATCCTAGACTTGACCCTTATCGTAATACATCAACCAAACATTGGCAAACCAATAGCTATGATGTTAGAAATAACGTGGGTCGACTTTCTCTCGTTTACAACAAAATGGAATTGAGAAACTGCAGCTGAAAATGGACACAAGTATTTACGTGGTTCACCCAATTTAGGCTACGTCCACGGGCAAGTATAGGAGGATTTCACTATAGTAGGAGAATTACAACACTCTCTAAATACATGGAGATAACAACAATTAATCTCTCTTGTAATATGAGAATACAAGGAGGTAATACTTAGGAGAAACTAATATTTTTTTTTTCTCTCTACTCCCAATCTTCTCTCTACTCTCTAATTCCTCTCAAGTTGCTTGCTTTCTCTCTCTCCACATCTACCTCTATTTATAGAAATTGTTAACCTCCTTAATGGAAGTATCTACATGAAAACAAGAAAAATTTGAATAGAAATTTTCTTCTTAAATAGTCAAATATGGTGGCTAGGAGAGTTTCACTTCAATTTTGCCACTTCCAAGTTGTGATTGGTGGAAAGGAATTCAAATTCAAGTTGGTCACTTGCAACTTGAAAACTTCTTCAAGAAGTTTCAACAATTTTTATTGGAGTCAACACTTGTGGCTTTAATATTCAACATATGATTTGATAGTTTTCTGCATATTCCTTATCTCCATTAACAACCAACCCAACAATGAAGATTTTTTGAAGAAGACAGCTATCACAATTCACGATGACCTGATATAGCAACCGACTGATAATAGATTGCAATGGTGCAGTGCACATCCATGGAGCTTTTTCCAAGAAGAAAAAATATGTTCCACTAAATTTCACCTCCACTGCAAAAATGACACTAAGTTGCAAAATCCTATATTTCTCATAGAATTAGCTACTTGTATAGGCTTTTTAATCGATTGATTTGCAGGTGGAATCAAATTGTTTTTTTAGCAAGTTAGGAAGATAGAATATATATCTAAGATTCTTTTTTGAGCCATGCTTGGTGTACAGCACTTTGTATACCAAGTATGACAGCCCCCTCACATGAGAGAACGTGGAGCCCCTCTTGTGAGGGGGGCTGTAAGTCCTACGTGGACTGTACACTTAGAAAAATACTTTTTTTTTTTTAATAGATTGATTTACAGGTGCTGAGTTAGCTATTTCACAGGCTGGTTGGACAAAGAAAAAGTTAAACCAGTCTGTGTGAAATGTTGCCAATTATATACATTTTTAGCATTCTTGTTTCTCATATTAGTAACAAAAACTGTAGCGACGAGGCCCGAGAAAGAAATTACAATAAAAATGCAAATACTGAACCAACTTGTCTAAAAGTTTACAAGATACCAAATTCGTTTCAAAAGCCTAACATGTGCATAATTTTCATAAATGGATTCTCTCATACCATATCCAACAACCTTACCTCACCAAAAAAGCTATTAGCAAGGGTACACTGTTATTTATTTAAATTCAGCCTTCAAAATATGTGAATATACCATGTACCTGAATCGACAAGAGCTGCACAATTTTTTTCAGTAGCCAGTTCATTCTCCTATTTTCCTCGTGAACTAGAGTCGTCTTTTCTTCGTTACCCACTTGATTCAACGCAGAGGTAGCCTGAGTCCTGGAGAGATTCTGTAAAATCTGATTACTGAGGACATCACTGCCCTTGTACCGCTCAAATGGATCCATTTTTTCACTTCACGTCCGCAACCCACCATGGAAATTTTGTTCAAATTACAAAACAATAAGTGCACGATTGCATTGAAATGTATTTCCATGTAGACCCCAAAACTATCAGTTTCAAAAGCTACAAATTTTGCTATTTAATTTCCCAATCAGGCTTGTTCATCAATGGATGAACGAATTTGGACTGCGCAGCTTCGCAGGAATTAGAGAAAATTTTGCCGCCTCCACACTTCTAGAGCACCCAACGTCTCTTTCTCTGAGCTTCTAGTGCATGTTAAAAATAAGGAGGATAAATTACACTCTAAATCCCCAACTTTTTCAATCTGTATCAATTTCATCCTATTAAATTTTTTAGTAAGTGTCATCCAACATTTCACTGTCGGGCTATGTTCGAGCTCTATTTTTTTTTTTTGTGAAAAATGAGTCTTGTAATTTACCTGAGAAACATGACCATTAGAAAATTTTGAAACCAATAGTAATTAAACACCAATGAACTTTTAAAAGAAAAATCATTCCTATTAAATTTCTGTCTACCTAAACTACAAATCAATAAAACAAAAAAAGAAAAATGAACAAGTCCTAATTGGAATGAGTAATGCTATTTATAGTGAAAATTATCGATAGTCGCCTTACGTGGCATATATATATCATTTTGTGAAATATATGAGACAATAAAAAAAATTATCACATTAATGCATCAAATAACAAAGTGACACAAGTATTCTACCTAAGGTGACTATCGATTTTCACTATGAATTGCATCAAAGCTTTCATAAATTTAATTACTGAGTTAATAATAATGATGGGTTTGATGTGTTGAAACGTACCAAAAAATTGACATTTAATAACATATTTATTAGAATTGAAAACACCTGAAATAACAACCTGTAGTTAAATAGTTGCAACAGTTAGTTAGTTAAAGATAGCTAGCTAGCATAACTGATTCCTCATACCTGTACTCTATATATACAGACGGGTGTAAATCATTTTCTGCTTGATTGAATAAAGTTCAATTCAATTCTATTTTCTTGTTCTTAATATGGTATCAAAGCATACATAATTCCGCACAATCTTCATTTTCTTTACACATACATCCATTTCAGAATTCCAAATCAAAATTGGAATCACAACAAACTGAAGTCTCAAGGTCATCAGTAAGTAAGTCATCCATTGATGATCCTTCAAGCCCATATTTCCTCTATCACTCCGATAGTCCAAGACTGGTTTTAGTGTCACAGCAACTCGTCGGAGATAACTATGCCTCCTTGAGTCGAGCCATGATGATCGCATTGTCAGTGAAGAACAAGACCATATTCATAAATGGATCTATAATTGAGCCTGATGATGGAGATCCTGAGTTACTTAATGCGTGGATCAGAAACAACAATATTGTGATATCATGGATTTTAAATTCAGTCTCAAAGGAAATTTCTGCAAGTGTGATATACGCAACAACGACGTATGAGATATGGAATGATCTAAAAGACAGGTTCCAACAAAAGAATGGGCCAAGAATTTTTCAGTTGAGAAGAGAACTGATGATTTTGAGCCAAGATCAAGACACTGTGAGTGTTTATTTTACTAAACTCAAAACCATTTGGGAGGAGTTGAGTAATTATCGACCAGTTTGTAATTGTGGAAAGTGTACGTGTGATGGTGTGAAGGAACTGAACAAATATTACGAGACTGGGTACTCCATGTCATTTCTAATGGGTCTCAATGACTCATATTCACAAATTAGAGGACAGATTCTGCTCATGGATCCATTGCCTCAAATCAACAAGGTTTTTGCGTTAATTTCACAAGAAGAAAATCAAAGGAAGATTGGTACTCAAGTGACATCTGGCAATGACCCAAATGGAGATGTAGCATTTGCTTTCTAGGCTAACACTGGAAAATGAATCACTTCTCAAGATACATACAACAGAAATGCAAGATTCAGCAACATTAAACGAAGAGAGAAATCTTATTGCACACATAGTAATTTTCATGGGCACACGATTGATACGTGTCATAAGTTGCATGGTTATCCATCAGGTTACAAGCCTAAATCAAGGGAAAGGCCTCAACACTTTTCCAGCAACAATGAGGTTAATCAAGTCGCTACAAACATATAGACTCCCAAGCTTGACAATGGTTAAAACGATCAACATACTGGAGTTGGGGACATTGTGCAAAACCTCAATCCAAATCAATACCATTAGCTGATGTCTATGTTGTCTTCTCATCTGGCTTCGAGCTCAGTCACCACAACTCCTGACCATGATAATAATGTCATCTCTTATGCTGTAGGTATATGTTATTCGATTTTAGTAAATCCTAAGCTATTATCCAAAGACATATGGATAATGGACTCTGGTGCAACAAGGTATGTATGCTCAATTGCTTCTGTCTTTGTTTCTATGAGAATTTTGGATAACTCTATTGTCACCTTACCAAATAATACTCAAATTCCAGTTGGACTATGTGGTTATATCAAATTGAATTCTGATCTTATTCTTCGTGATGTTATGTTTGTCCCTCAATTCAAGTTTAATCTACTATCTGTTAGTGCCCTAACGCTTGGATCTCATCTCATTGTTAACTTCTTTCATGATCATTTCGTCATCCAGGAGATCAACACCAAGAAGACAATTAGCAGGGGTAGTAGGAAACATGACTTATATATCCTGGATGCCAAAAATCTCAGTTCCATTTCTAGTAATGTTCATTTTTCTAACAACCTTGTAAGCAATGTAACCACATACCATGTATTATTGTGTTCCATAGCATCCAATTCACCATATTAAGAACAAGAAAATAGAATTGAACTGAACTTTATTCAATCAAGCAGAAAATGATTTACACCCGTCTGTATATATAGAGTACAGGTATGAGGAATCAATTATGCTGGCTGGCTATCTTTAACTAACTAACTGTTGCAACTATTTAACTACAAGTTGTTATTTCAGGTGTGTTCAGTTCTAATACTTCCCCTCAAGATGTGCTGTAAAGATTCTTGACAGACATCTTGGCTAAGAAAGAACGCAGCATAGATGCAGGAAGTGGCTTGGTGAATGCATCAGCAAGTTGGTGCTGAGTACAAATTGGCATCAGCTTGATAATACCAGCGGCAACTTTTTCCTGAATGAAATGGCAGTCAATCTCGATGTGCTTGGTACGTTCATGGAAAATGGGATTGGACGCAATCTGGATTGCAGCTTGATTATCACAGAATATGGTGGCTAGGGATGCGACATTCGTTTGGAAATCCTTCAACAATTGATTTATCCACACAATTTCACATGTGGTGGTAGCAATAGCCCGATACTCAGCTTCTGTTGAGGATTTTGATGCTGTTGCCTACCTTTTAGATTTCCAAGAAATCAAAGAGTCACCAATGAAAATGCAGAATCCGGTGGTGGATTTCCTTGTATCAATGCAAGATCCCCAGTCAGCATCCGAAAAGCTTGTAATTTTAGAGGTGAATTGGATCCTGCATGTGCAGAAAAAAGAATGCCCTGACCTGGACTATGTTTCAAATTTCGAAACAAGTGATGCACTGCCTTAAGATGAGGCATCCTAGGCTGAGATAGAAATTGGCTTAGCTTGTGGACAACATATGTGATGTCTGGCCGGGAAATGGTCAGGTAAAGCCAATCAACCGTCTGTATTGAGAAGCATCAGGCAAGAGGTCTCCTTCGTGTAAACTCAGATGGGATTTTGGATCCATAGGAGTATCAGTTGGTTTACAGTTTAAATAACTAGTGTCCTCGAGCAACTGTAAGGTGTAATGCCTTTGACATATTACGATGCCAGACTAAATGAGCAATCTCAATGCCTAGAAAATATTTCAGATTCCCTAAGTCTTTCAATTTGAATTAAGAATGCAAGAAGGTTTTTAAAGCATCAATGACATGTAGATTAGGACCTGTGATGACAATGTCATCTACGTATACCAATAAAGCAACAAACTGATTTCCTTGCCCCTTGATGAACAGTGAATAATCTGCCTTCGATTGAGTAAATCCAAAATTGATTAATGCTTGAGAGAATTTAAAATTCCATTGGCGTGAGGCCTGCTTGAGTCCATAAATGGACTTGTGAAGTTTACACACTAACTTTTCCCCCAGTCTGGCAATTTTAGATGTCTGATAACCCATTGACAGATCCATATAGACTTTCTCGAACAGATCTCCATTTAAAAAGGCGTTATTAACATCCAATTGCACTAGGTTCCATCTATTGTAGGCTGCAAGTGCCAGCAAGAGTTTGACAGTTACAATTTTAGCTATCGGAGAGAAGGTATTAAAGTAATCCAATCCCTCTTGTTGAGTATAACCATTTGCAACTAAATGGGCTTTATGTCTTTCGATGGATCCATCTGAGGTATATTTCACTTCATAAACCCAGCGACATCCAACAGAGCGTTTCCCTTTCGGCAATGTAACCACAGACCATGCATTATTGTGTTCCATAACATCCAATTCAAGCTTTATGGCTGCACGCCACTCTGGATTTTTCACAACCTCATGGTAAAATTGTGGTTCTTGTTGAGATGAAACATTGAGAACCAAGTTTTTGTAAGAAGAAGACAACCTGTCCTATGATAAAAAATAACTAATGTGATATGGTAATGAGAGAAGAATTGAGGATTTTGTGCAATTAAATTGCAATGAAAATCTCTTAAGTATACAGGAGGTCTGAGAATTCTTTGAGATCTTTGAACATCCACATTGTGCGGTTCGGATGTAGGTTGGTTGATTTCATTGTCATTATCCTAAGAGGGCAGTTCAATTGGTGGTGATAGCTCACCATGATTGCCATAAACAACTACAATAGAATGTTCTTGATGAGGGGGTAAGGATGCAACTGGTAAAACCAAATCAGAAAATGGATCCACCAATTGATTAGTCTCTGTCACAGTGTGAAATGGGAAGATATTCTCATAAAAAATGACATCACGTGAAGAGAAAACCTGCTTAGAAACAACATTGTACAATTTGTATCCTTTCATCCCAGAAGGATAGCCTAAAAATACACACGTTCTGGCCCTTTGATGAAATTTGTCCCTGTGAGCTGCTAAGGTGGAAGCAAAAGCTAAGCATCCAAAAACCCGTAGCATGGAATAATCCACATCCATTTTATAGAGAATCTCATATGGTGTCTTGCCATGTAGAATTGGAGATGGTGTTCGATTGATCAAGAAGGTGGCAGCCGACACACATTTAGACTAGAGATGTATAGGGACCTTTGATTGAAAATATAAAGCTCTTGCTATTAACAGATGTTGGTGTTTACGTTCAACTACTGAATTTTGTTGGGGACGTTCAACACAACTAAATTGATGCAAGACTCCTTTCATAGCAAAAAAATCTTTAAATGCCAATTCAGGTGCATTGTCTGATCTAAAAACCTTTATTTTGGCATGAAATTGGGTTTCAAACATGCTGAAAAATCGAGAAATTACAACAGTAGCATCTGACTTTTGCTTTAACAAGAATAACCACGTAAATTTTGAGCAATCATCCACTATTGTTACAAAGAATCCGTGTCTAGTGTAAGATGGGATTTGATATGGCCCCCAAATATCATAATGCACAAGATCAAAAGAATTCTGTGAAAAATGATTGTTGGAATCAAAAGATAATCTTCTTTACCTTGCCAATGGACAAACATAACAAGGAGAACGTTTATTTATTTTCGACGTGGTACAAGAAATTTTGTCCTCAAGCATTCTAATCTTTTAAAGGATAAATGCCTTAATCTGTTGTGCTAGATTTGAACAAATACATGCTTACAAGGTTGTTAGAAAAATGATCATTACTAGAAATTGAACTGAGATTTTTGGCATCCAAGATATACAAGTCCTGCTTTCTACTACCCCTGCCAATCGTCTTCTTGGTATTGATGTCTTGGATGACGAAATGATCATGAAAGAAGTTAACAGTGAGATGAGATCCAAGCCTTAGGGCACTAATAGATAGTAGATTAAACTTGAATTGAGGAACAAACATAACATCACGAAGAATCAGAATTCAATCTGATATCACCACATAGTCTAACTGGAATTTGAGTATTATTTGGCAAGGTGACAGTAGAGTTGTCCAAAATTATCATAGAAACGAAGGCAGAAGCAATTGAGCATACATGCCTTGTTGCACCAGAGTCCATTATCCATAAGTCTTTGGATAAGAACTTAGGATTTACTGAAATCGAATAACATATCCCTGCAGCATAAGAGATGCCATTACTGTCATGGTCAGGAGTTGTGGTGACTGAGCTCGAATCCAGATGAGAAGACAACATAGACATAGTTGCTGGTATTGATTTGGATTGAGGTTTTGCACAAAAAGTCTCCAACTCCAGTATGTTGATCGTTTTGACCATTATCAAGCTTGGGAGCCTGTATGTTTGTAGAGACTTGATTAACCTGATTGTTGCTGGAAAAGTGTTGAGGCCTTTCCCTTGATTTCGGCTTATAACCTGGTAGATAACCATGCAACTTACGACATGTATCAACCGTGTGCCCATGAAAATTACAATGTGTGCAATAAGATTTCTTTCTTCTTTAATGTTGCTGAATCTTGCATTTTCGTTGTATGTATCTTGAGAAGTGATTCCTTTTCCAGTGTTAGCCTTGAAACCAAATGCTGCATCTCCATTTAGGTCATTGCCAGGTGTCACTTGAGTACTAATCTTCCTTTGATTTTCTTCTTGTGAAATTAACGCAAAAACCTTGTTGATTTGAGGCAATGGATCCATGAGCAGAATCTGTCCTCTAATTTGTGAATATGAGTCATTGAGACCCATTAGAAATGACATGGTGTACTCAGTTTGGTAATATTTGTTCAGTTCCTTCACACCATCACACGTACACTTTCCACAATTACAAATCGGACGATAATTGCTCAACTCCTCCCAAATGGTTTTGAGTTTAGTAAAATAAACACTCACAGTGTCTTGATCTTGGCTCAAAATCATCAGTTCTCTTCTCAACTGAAAAATTCTTGGCCCATTCTTTTGCTGGAACCTGTCTTTTAGATCATTCCATATCTCTTACGCCGTTGTTGCGTATATCACACTTGCAGAAATTTCCTTTGAGACTGAATTGAAAATCCATGATATCACAGGGACAAATTTCATCAAAGGGCCAAAACGTGTGTAATTTTAGGCTATCCTTCTGGGATAAAAGTATACAAATTGTACGATATTGTTTCTAAGCAGGTTTTCTCTTCACGTGATGTCATTTTTTATAAGAATATCTTCCATTTCACACTATGACAGAGACTAATCAATTGGTGGATCCATTTCCTGATTTGGTTTTACCAATTGCATCCTTACCCCCTCATCAAGAACATTCTATTATAGCTATTGATGGCAATCATGGTGAGTTATCACCACCAATTGAACTGCCCTCTTAGGATAATGACAATGCAATCAACCAACCTACATCCGAACCACACAATGTGGATGTTCGAAGATCTCAAAGAATTGTCAGACCTCCTGCATACTTAAGAAATTTTCATTGCAATTTAATTGCACAAAATCCTCAATCCTTCTCTCATTTACCATATCACATTAGTCATTTTTTTATCATATGACAGGTTGTCTTCTTCTTACAAAAACTTGTTTCTCAATGTTTCATCTCAACAAGAACCACAATTTTACCACGAGGCTGTGAAAAATCCAGAGTGGCGTGTAACCATGAGGCTTGAATTGGATGCTATGGAACACAATAATGCATGGTCTGTGGTTACATTGCCGAAAGGAAAACACTTAGTTGGATGTCGTTGGGTTTATAAAGTGAAGAATAACTCAGATGGATCCATTGAAAGACATAAAGCCCGTTTAGTTGCAAAGAGTTATACTCAACAAGAGGGATTGGATTACTTTGATACCTTTTCTCCGATGGCTAAAATTGTAACTGTCAAACTCTTGCTGGCACTTGCAGCCTACATTAGATGGAACCTAGTGCAATTGGATATTAATAAAGCCTTTTTAAATGGAGACCTGTTCGAAGAAATGTGTAAACTTCACAAGTCCATTTATGGACTCAAGCAAGCCTCACGCCAATGGAATTCTAAATTCTCTCAAGCATTAATCAATTTTGGATTTACTCAATCGAAGGCAGATTATTCGTTGTTCATCAAGGGGCAAGGAGATCAGTTTGTTGCTTTATTGGTATATGTAGATGACATTGTCATCACAGGTCCTAATCTACATGTCATTGATGCTTTAAAAACCTTCTTGCATTCTCAGTTCAAATTGAAAGACTTAGGGAATCTGAAATATTTTCTAGGCATTGAGATTGCTTATTCCAAGTCTGGCATTGTAATATCTCAAAGGCATTACACCTTACAGTTGCTCGAAGACACTGGTTATTTAAACTGTAAACCAACTAATACTCTTATGGATCCAAAATCCCATTTGAGTTTCCACGAAGGAGACCTCTTGCCTGATGCTTCTCAATATAGACGGTTGATTGGCCGGTTACTTTACCTGACCATTTCCCGGCCAGACATCACATATGTTGTCCACAAGCTGAGCCAATTTCTATCTCAACTTAGGATGCCTCAACTTAAGGCAGTGCATCACTTGCTTCGATATTTGGAACACGGTCCAGGTCAGGGCATTCTTTTTTCTACGCATGCGGGATCCAATTCACCTCTAAAATTACATGCTTTTTTGAATGCTGATCGGGGATCTTGCATTGATACAAGGAAATCCGCCACTAAATTCTGCATTTTCATTGGCGACTCTATGATTTCTTGGAAATCTAAAAGGCAGGCAACAGTATCAAAATCCTCAGTAAAAGCTAAGTATCGGGCTATTACTGCCACCACATGCGAATTTGTGTGGATAAATTAGTTGTTGAAGGATTTCCAAACGAAGGTCGCATCCCTAGCCACCATATTCTGCGATAATCAAGCTGCAATCCAGATTGCGTCCAATCCCATTTTCCATGAACGTATCAAGCACATCGAGATTGACTGCCATTTCATTCGGGAAAAAGTTGTCGCTCGTGTTATCAAGCTGATGCCAATTCCTACTCAGCACCAGCTTGCTGATGCATTCACCAAGCCACTTCCTGCATCTATGCTGCATTCTTTCTTAGCCAAGATGCTTGTCAAGATTCTTTACAGCACATCTTGAGGGGGAGTATTAGAACTGAACACACCTGAAACAACAACCTGTAGTTAAATAGTTGCAACAATTAGTTAGTTAAAGATAGCCAGCTAGCATAACTGATTCCTCGTGCCTGTACTCTATATATACAGACGGGTGTAAATCATTTTCTGCTTAATTGAATAAAGTTCAGTTCAATTCTATTTTCTTGTTCTTAATAACATTTGTGTTCTTTAGTACTGTCGAGTCGAGCATGACAGAGATGCTTTAAAACTTCAGTAATCAAAGATTATCTAGCAATTTAAAGTTTTGGGAACTCAATTTCATGAGCATCAATATCCACAAAAATAGCAACGCCACATTTGGTACTATTGAAGCCCTCCCACCAAGGGAAATCGACAGTTTTGAAAACAACTTTCTTGGAAGAAATATTTTTGGCTGAGTACAACTTTTCTAACCTTTTGACAACAAAATCATCGGTTGGAACTCAATCTTTGTTGGCTCCATTGGAACAATTTGTCACTAAACCATTGTCGAATAGAGCAACCATAATATTGGCGCCTTGATGATCCACTTTGTCCTTTGAGCTCCCGTCAATGAGGCATGAAGTGACTCTGGTGTAAGCCTTTCAAATGTTGCTTGTTTATATGAAATACGAATTAATTCTTGGAATAATTTTTATATAGTTGGATGAATGTTATTACATCCTTGGATGGGTTTCAAGTATCTATGAAATACGAATTGATATTGTAAGGGAATTGTGTAGCTGACCTGGAGCGCGGGAACATGAACTTATGTTCTCTCATGTCGTGATTGATCCGTCCAAGCAGCGGCTAGGAAAAACAGTGTAGACAACAAGAAATGCAGGCAAGAAAACGTGGAACAGCTATGCAGAGATTTTTGTAACTCAAAAATCCTCATTTTTAAGGGGTCAAAATTCGCGGGACTGTAATTGATGATTTTAGGATGCAAGCGGGTGCAACTTGCATAAAGATGAGAAGCAAGAATTAACTTGCATGAGGGTAAGAAGTAAAACTCAACTTGAATACAACTTTCATAAAGGGGCTTGCAACTTACGTGTAACGGATCGCCCATCTGGACCTCAGGTTCCCGAAGTCCCCCTAAGGTAGCCTTCTACATGCAAAGGATGACAAGCTAAGGTATAAAATATAAGCATGATATACTCTGGGTAGGAAGCTTGCGACTACACCTACACGATGGACACAGTTATTGCACTTTCTGATAATTTGGCCTTAAAATTGTAATTAGCAATCTTGTCATGCCACATGGGTAGGGGAGTTTGCTGATTCCATGACTTACTTCCCCATTAAATCAATTAATGTATTCGTAGCAGACCTTGTGCCTTGCATCTTCGCGCAAAATCTACATTGCATTCTATTTTATGCCACTGGGTATGAAATTCTCTACAATTGTGGCACCATCATACTGATGGATGGGTGTCTACAATTCCCCTATACTTCTTCCAACAATAACCTGGACATAGAGCCTTCAACGTTAATCTTCACTCTCTGTCGCTGCATTGGCTCCTTTGGATGGAAGGCTCCCCTTGTCACAGCGTTATAGTGCATGTCGAAGCAACTGACACAAATGCCCTCTCTTTGTGATTTCCTTTGCAATGCTTTATCAGGCCATACGAAAAAAGGTTCGTGTAGATAGGCTCAATTGCATAATGCATGCCTTTACTTCCATCATCCCCAATGCTTTCCATCATTTAATTCCGCTTGTTTGCCAATCGAGATTTGCCACACGTCTCGTGCCTTTATCATGTCTTTGGTAGTCACAAAATCGTTTCTGCAATAATGTGCACCTTACAACCAACAATGCATTGTTCAGAGCAGACATGCTTTGATACCACATGTAACAGATCGCTCGTTCGGCCCCAAGTTTTTGAAGTCCCTCGGAGGGCTAGTTAAGATATAAGCACAATATACTCTTGAATCGGACAATGTAGGATAATAAAAATTGTGATCGATCCTAACACGGTGTGCCCCTACAATGTGGGGGTTGAAAATTTAGTCCAACTTTAAAGCCTCAGCATAAGCATTTTGCCTAACGGTCCATTGGCTCAGCCCAAAAGGGTCTTTCCAGCCCATATAATCCCAATAGTCTACAAAGTACCTCCAGGTTGAAGTCACCTCTTCCCAGCTAAGAGAAGAGTAGCTCCACCTTAGGGAAGGAAGGTAGCGCAACCTT